AAAATGTAATTTAAAAAATCTCCCATCTTAACCCTCACAATGTAGTTTCGTGAATTATATTAAAGAGGGCTTAAAAGCTCTGGAAGTCTCATGAACAAGGCCTTTGGAAAACTAATCAATTAATTCATAAAAGCTGCATAAGATAATGACATTAACGGACAAGCTGAAAAGATTTAGTATTTACTAACCCACAACGTGGTCTGCTGTTGTGCCTCACTTTTACCAACCCTGGCAGGCATTCCTTCCAAGCCAGCTTTTCCTGCCACGCTGCCAGGATAGGCAGGGCTTCTGGAAACTGGCCGAGCCCGTTTTCATATTTAATGTCTCAATCCCTTTGTCTGAAAGCTCTTTGAGTGACCCAAGCAGCAAGCCTGGAGACAGGCTTACCCCACAGGCTGTGGTTCAATTAAATCTGCTTCCTACACCATCTACTATCAACACTTAGCCCAATACTGTAGAGCTGGAAGAAACCAAAGCAAAGCAGGATCAGATGGGAGGTCCTAAGTCCTCCTTGGTAGTTCCCTTCTTAACCTGAAGATCTCTAGACCTGGGGATAGAAAATTCCTAGCAAGGGCATTTGGCAGCCAAGGAGACCAGCCCCATTTATGAAGTTTGTCTGACTTTCCTCTTTTCTTTCTTCCAAAGGTTGAGCCAGCTACCTTGTAGTGGTTCCAGATGAAATCTCTGAAAGAGAAAGAATTGGAATCTCCCTCCTCCATGATGCTAAAGATTCTTTCCTCACTGAAAACCATTTTCAGAGCATTAAATTAATTGCTTGTTCTTTAAGGGTTAATTTCAGTATGATTTATTATCAAATGACTGGAGAGAGCACTGGTGTTCTACTCCACCCTCTCTAAATGTTTTAATTAAAAATCTACCAACATGATTGGAAGATTGAATACAGTTATCAATTCTTCCCAAACTACTATATAGATTCAATGCAATCCTAATCAAAATCCCAGCAGGACTTTTTGTAGAAATCAACAAGCTGAATCTAAATTTGAAAGACAGTGGCAACTTTTCATTGCCAAATATTATCCCACTGTATGGATGTACCTCAGTTCATCCCTTCCCTAGATGAGGGATGACATTTGGGTCATTTACAGTTTTTGGCAATTGCAAATAAAGCTACTACCAACATTCACGTCCAGGCAAGGCTTTTGTGTGAACGTAAGTTTTCATTTCACTTGGATGTTATACCTAGGAATGGGATGGCTGGGCCCTAGGAAATGTATGTTTGACTTTATAAGAAACCACCAAACCATTTTTCAAAGTGGTTGTAACGTTTTACATTCCCATGATACGACTTAAGTTGCTATGCATTCTCCTCAGCGCTTAATATTGTCAGGTTTAAAAAATTTCAGCCATTCTAATGGGTGTATAGTGATATCTCATTAATGGATTTGATTTGTATTTCCCTAGTGACTGATGATTTTAGCATCTGTTAATGTGATTATTTGCTATCCTTCTATCTAAGGAAATGTCTGTTTGAATCTTTTGCTTATTTTAAAAAATTACTTTGTTTTCTAATTACTAAGTTATGAATTCTTTATATATTTTAGAGCAAATTCTTTACCAGATATGTAATTTTCTCCCAGTTTGTGACTTGTCTTTTTATCCTCTTAACAATGTCTTTTTAAGAGCAGAGGTTCTTAATTTTGATAAAGTTCAGTTTATCCTTTTTTTTTAATGGATAAGGTCACGAATATTTTTTCTTATGTTTTTTTTCTGGAAATTTTATAGCTTTAGTTTTACATTTAGATCTATGATCCATTTTTGAGTTAATTTTTGTATATGATGTGAGGTATAGATCAAGATTCACTTTTTTTTTTTAAATATGGGTATCCAATTGTTTCAGCACTATTTGTTGAAAAGACTGTCTTTTCTCCATTGAATTGACTTGGCAAATTTGTTATTCTTTTTTCAGAGTTGTTTTAGATGGTGTATTTAGATGGTCCATTAATGAGATATCACTATACACCCATTAGAATGGCTGAAATTTTTTAAACCTGACAGTATTAAGCGCTGAGGAGAATGCATAGCAACTGAAGTCGTATCATGGGAATGTAAAACGGTACAACCACTCTGAAAAATGGTTTGGTGGTTTCTTATAAAATCAAACATACATTTCCTAGGGCCCAGCCATCCCATTCCTAGGTAAAACATCCAAGTGAAATGAAAACTTACGTTCACACAAAAGCCTTGCCTGGACGTGAATGTTGGTAGTAGCTTTATTTGCAATTGCCAAAAACTGTAAATGACCCAAATGTTCCTCATCTAGGGAAGGGATGAACTGAGGTACATCCACACAGTGGGATAATATTTGGCAATGAAAAGGAACAAATTACGGGTATACGCAACAACATGGATGAATTTCAAATGCATTATGCTAAGTGAAAGGGGCCAGAGTCCCCAGGCTACAGACGGTATGTTTCCATTTATATGACATTCAGAAAAAAGCAAAACAATTGGGACAGACATCACAGCAGTGGTTGCCAAGGATAAGGGAAGGGTGAGGGGCTGACCCCAAAGGGACATGCGAAAATTTTTTTGTGTAATGAAACTATTCTGTATTTTGATTGTGATGGCAGTTATACAACTGTATTTGTTAAAACTCACAGAACTGTACACAAAAAAAGGATAACTTTTACCATATCTAAATTATAACTTTTTTAACAGCTCCAAATGGAAACCATAAAATACAAAATAAAACAAAAATACTACTATGAAAATGACCACAAAATTTCTGCATGCCAGACAACCTTTTAAATTAGGACCGTTAAAAATAAGGTCTGCAATATCATACACATATGCACACGTCTTGCCACTCCTACAACAGCAAAGGGTATTTCAAAAGAAAACATCTCATCCCCCATTCTTACCTGAACCACGGACTGTCTTAGGGTTGAACAGAGGCATTAACACCCCACAAAGGACCTATTACCTGCAAGTTATGGAGAGCTGGGAAAGGCCACAAGAGTTCCTTAAAACTGCAGTGGGAATTGCATTTCCCCTTCTTGTTCTTCCTTAGGAGAACGGGGGTTGACACAAATTCCCCAGCAGTGCACACTCACCTCTGTCGTGACTGCATTTACTTCGATGGGCTGGATCTCAGTACTGCAGCACTCACTCCCTCACAGAGGAAACTGAATTTTGCAGAGGTAATGAAAGTAGGCCAAGGCGACAGAGCACTCTAGTTACGGGGTGGCAGCCAATCACGGGCCCCTCCCCAGGAGTCTCTCACTCTGAGGTCAGGACTCAAAAGCAGAGTCTGTGCTGTCAGCCTGAACCCAAAGGGACTGACTTGTTGGGCTTATTTTTCCACAGCATTAACTCAAGTGTTTACGATTTGAGACCCCAAATTAATCTCTGCCACAGCACTGGCGGTCTCTCCTCCCACAGGTATCACCTTGTCTGATCTAACCTTTTCCCTTGCTTCTCGTGATGAAGATGGTGGCCAACTCCTACCCAGGGCATACAGTTCAGGTACTGAAAACAAAAGCCATAATGCACTCCCCGTCCCAGACTGTCCCTACCCAACTGAAACCCAACTGCCCCCCACCAAGGAACATCGTAGCTACATTATCCTCCCCTTCCACCCAGGATCACAGACTTTCAAAATCCCTTTGGAGTTGTTTCTGCTGAGGAGTTGGGGGGAATGTACCTTTTGTTTTTCCATCCACTGATACCAGCTTCTTTGTCTCTGCCGTTAACAACAGCTCATAAGGGTGCTCATCCTCTTCCCTGGCTGCACTCCCCTGAATCCTGGGTCTCACGGCCAGGACCTAAGAGAGAGAAACACCCAGTGCATCTCGTGCACATGGCTAAAAGTAAGACAGGTGGTGTTGAACAAATTTGAAATTATTGGCTCCTTTTTCAACTGAGGAAGGGAGGCAGGGAAGAGAAGGTGAATAACTCAAGTGTCACATAAAGTCACAACTGCCTTTCTGGATATACACCTGTACCTCAAATCTCAATGGCCTTTGAACAGAATGCTCCCCTTTCTTTGCCTCACTTTATTTGTCAAAAATGATAAGTAAAATCCAAGATCCTTCCTTCCCTTGCTTCTCCCATGTCCATAGTTGTCTACATCTGCGGTCCTCAAAGCCCAGGCCACAGACCAGTACTAGTCGTGGCCTGCTAGGAACTGGGCTGCACAGCAGCAGGTGAGCACTCAGCCAGGGGCTTCATCTGTATTTACAGACGCTCTCCATCGCTCTCATCACCGCCTGAGCTCTGCCTCCTGTCAGATCAGCGGTGGCATTAGATTCTCATGGGAGGACGAACCCTACTGTAAACTGCGCATGTGAGGGATCTAGGTTGCGAGCTCCTGATGAGAATCTAATGCCTGATGATCTGAGCTGGAGCTGAGGCAGTAATGCCAGCTCTAGAGAGTGGCTACAAATACAGATTATCATTGGCAGAGAGGTTTGACTGCACAATAAATGTAATGCGCTTGAATCATCCCTAAACCATGGAAAAACTGTCTTCCATAAAACTGGTCCCTGCTACCAAAAAGGTTGGGCACAGCTGGTCTACATGATCTCTTTTCTGCGGATAATACCTCCCAAGCAGCTTTCAGCCATGCTCCATCATAAAGGCCAGCCTTCTCCATGCTTCCTTCCTAATATGTACATATACTATCTGAAGGCTGGACTCCTTCTCATTTTCTTAAGGAGGAACCAAAATGACTGACTGACCCTCAATGTCCGACATTTACTAGGAACCAAGTGGTCTATAAGTCCATTTCTGTTTTTGTGAGCCTTTCTTCAGAGGTCCTGCAGGTTATAGGGAATGATTTCCCAAAAGCTGGCTTCCTACCATATTTATGATAATAACGGTTTTAAATTACTTCCACCAATCTCTGCTCTGAAGAGTCAAGCAGCTAGAAAGTTTAAATTTCAGTAAGGAAAAAACAGCTCTGTCTACTGAGAAATCCCTAATCCAGGCAGCCAACTGTCTCTGCTGAAATAACTGAACCAGAACTGCCTCTTACTCCTGATAACTATGAGGCTTTGGTCACCGGGGGGCCTGGTGGCCATAGCTAGTCATAGTACCGGTTTCCCTCGAACCAAACCTGAAACAGCATGGATAATGTCACAGCCACACTGAAGGAGAGAATGGAGATCCTTGCTTTAGAGGGTAATTCTGGTGCAGCTGTCCTAAGAGTCCAGTGTATTTCCGGGTAGACTACGAATAAGCTAGCATTAATACTAAGCTATGAGAAGAGCAAACCAAAGCACAAGATCTTTTTGAACAATTTGGCTACGAGTAACGTATTATGAATAAGAGGGTGGGGGAGGGAGAGGAATTCCCAATTCCACCTAACAAATAATGAATGGAACCCTATAAATCTGATTCTGTGGCATACACAGAAACCTCCTCCCACACTGACACATCCCACAGCTCACTGGAAATGCATCACGTTTGTGATTCACCAGGGTTTTGTTTCTTCGAGGCAGAGCTCACCGTGTTATGGCCTAATGAGACAAGGACTCTAGCAGCCTCAGACTAAAGAAAAACTGCAGTTTGTTAACAAGGCTGCCACACTAAAGGCAGAAGGATAGTCTCTTTCCAAAATTCTGCTAAGCACAGCAGGAACCTCCACTTAGTGCAAGCTACCTGGAAGCTAAAAGCTATTTCATTACAATGAGCCATTTGCCCCTATTACTTATGCCTGGCCTCTTCGGGAACACAATTAAGGGAAAAATGAGGGACCATTAGGCAGTTCACACTGTGTCAACTTAATACCACTGGCTTTACAGACAGGAATTTGTGTTCTGCAGGTTTATATGCCCATAGCTATCATTTATGCAGAGTCCTGGAAATCTGATTGGGTGAGTGCTCTGCACACAGCAAGAGCTCTCATGTAGCCCCAGGCATGCGTCCCTGAGAAGTAGGTAATTGACAGCCGGGATGTCCAGCCTATGATACCCTTTCTTCTCAAGGGCTGATGACTCCCAGCTGGAAAATCAGGCCCACTGGACGTGTGTTCGCTCTGTGCCTGGCTCTTGTGCAGGAAAAAGGAAGCAGAGAATCATCAAATATCAGAGCTGGAAGGGACCCTAACCAGCACAGTCCCAGCTAGAGAGCACCGGGTTCTAGCCCTTTCATTTGCAGATGACGACCCTGCTTCACAGGGAGGTCCAGAGACTTGCCCAGGGTTCCACGAGAGCTTCCCACAGAGCCACCGCCACAAACCTCAACTCCCCTGATTCTGCACCTGATTGGCCTCATTTGTTCTACCTTTCGTTTTTTTCTGCAACCAGTTTAGAACCCTTTCCCTCCTTCAGATGTCTGATGAGAGTCCCCTGCGAATATCCAGACAAGAAGTAGGGTGATCTTTTCTTCTTGGTGCTGGCCCCTACCAGCTATTGGATTAAGAGCTCACAATAAAGCAATAAACTGCTTTTCTTTGAGCCGTCCCAGCTCCCACTTAGGAAGCCCTATGTCATAGTGAGTATGGCAATAACTGATTTTCAACAGAAAGGATTCTGCTCTTCACTAACTTACTCCTTAATCTTTTTTTCCCCTTTCCTCCAGGGCTGGCAGTAAATCAAAGCCAAAATACATATATTTTTTTCTGCTATGTGGAAAGCAACATTTCTGCTGCAGAGAAAAGCTATGAGCAGTCACCACCTAACTGGGACCAATGGAATGTCCAGTTGGAGTGTGGGCAGCTTTCCGGGAAGAGATACCACAGCAGCTGCAATCTCCATGAACATTTAGCACATCTGAACAGAGACAAGACTGCAGTCAGTCCTGATGCAGCTGGCAGCCCATTCGGTGGGACAAAAACATCTAAATAGCATGTGTGTGTGCACGTGTCTAATTTTTTAAAGCCAGTTTTGTGATCAGGTCATTACCCTAAAAAGCTCTTCTAGAGTCAGGCATGATCCAGCGTCCCCTAAAGGTTTCTGTGGGTCACCTGACAAGGACAAGTCTCAGGAATAGGGATAAAAACTTCGGGGCAGATTGCTTGCTAAATACAAAGCCTAAGTTTGATGAAGCCAGTATCTCCTGAGAGATGAGGTTTAGGGTATTAAAGTTTAGAGAGTATAAGAAAAGATGGTGAAAGACCACAGAGTTAAAAAAAAAAAAAAATCAGTACACTTTTAGAGAAAATCTATCCATTCAAACTATAGCATATAAACAAAATATGCCTGGATCATTAAAAGGATAATGACTCAGGCCATACTACCTCTACATTCATGTACCTATAATCACCAGTAAATAAGCAAATTCAGGGCTCTCACTGTCTTCCAAATACCAACTCTGCCAGTCCAACTGATCCAGAATTCCAGGCTATTCAGAAGCAAGTTCTAGAAAATGTATCTCAGACAGATTCTCCCATCTAGAAGAGTAATACAGAGATTTCTTCCTCCACCTCCACCCCCACCTCTTGACACTGTGTTATTGCCAAATTGTACGCTTTAGAAAGTCTTGGGAGAATACGAAGTCCTGAGTACAATTCAGTACTTCTTTAAGAGCCTTGCCCCTATCCTTGGGCACTAGGAATTTTAATTCAAGTCCTTGTTAAAGAGGCAGCACAAGGCATTCACAGAGACACAGCCCTAACTGAATATGCTTCATATTACTAAGTTTTTCCTTGTAAAAAAGGGAGTAATGAAGCAAACTTCTATTTATATAAAAAGGTATAGGGGGCCGGGCGCGGTGGCTCACGCCTGTAATCCTAGCACTCTGGGAGGCCAAGGCGGGCGGATCGTTTTAGCTCAGGAGTTCGAGACCAGCCTGAGCAAGAGCGAGACCCTGTCTCTACCAAAAATAGAAGAAATTAATTGGACAGCTAAAAATATATATAGAAAAAATTAGCCGGGCATGGTGGCACATGCCTGTAGTCCCAGCTATTCGGGAGGCTGAGGCAGGAGGATCGCTTGAGCCCAGGAGTCTGAGGTTGCTGTGAGCTAGGCTGATGCCACGGCACTCTAGCCCGGGCAACACAGTGAGACTCCGTCTCAAAAAAAAAAAAAAAAAAAGGTATAGGGATTTACTACATGCACTTGTATCTACTGAAATGTATTATTACTCACAGGTAATAATAAGAGGCTGCAATTCTAGAGACCCTCAGTTGAGACAATGATAATAAGTATTTATAATTAAGGGATAGAAATAAATAAGGACAGAATTTGTACCTAGCACAGACATCTTCCCCGATCTCCAACACTGACTTTTACATTTTAAAAACAGCTTCCACATATTTATACATTTTGTTAAACTAAAGCTGTCCTTCTGGTTCCACTGTGCTTATATTGAGTAAAAGAACCTGTCTTGATGGTCCATGGCAATACTGTAAAAAATTATTAACTATGACTTCTAGGGATAAAGTGATAAGACTTAATTAACTGGTTTATATCAGCAGATTTTTAAATTAGAGAACAATAGGTCATTGAATGAGCTACAAAATGACTATTAAAATTATATAATTTTTTAAAATTTTTTATTTATTTTTTTTGAGACAGAGTCTTGCTCTGTTGCCCGGGCTGGAATGCCATGGTGTCAGCCTAGCTCACAGCAACCTCAAACTCCTGGGCTCAAGCGATCCTTGTGCCTCAGCCTCCCAAGTAGCTGGGGCTACAGGCAGGCACCGCCATGCCCGGCTAATTTTTTCTACATATTTTTAGTTGTCCAGCTAATTTCTTTCTGTTTTTAGTAGAGACGGGGGTCTCGCTCTTGCTCAGGCTGGTCTTGAACTCCTGAGCTCAAACGATCCACCCGCCTCGGCCTCCCAGAGTGCTAGAATTACAGGCGTGAGCCACCGTGCCCGGCCTTATATAATATTTTGAATAAATACTCCATAAATATATTCTCTGAACAGCAGGAAGTGTTAAAAGAGCATTTTGAAGACAAAAGATCAAGGAAAACAATTTTCTTCACACACTTAAGTGATTGAGTTCTTTGCCCCATGATAACATTTCTTTTTTAAAAGGTAGACTACTCTTTTCAAATAACCTTCTTGAATCTTCCTGCCTGCCCATCCCATACAATTCCTGTTTCTTTTCTAATTGAGTCTTCATGACTCAATCCACATTTGCTCTGGTATAGAGTCTTCCTGTGAAATGAGCAGGGAAAATGCAAAAACAAAACTAAGACGTTTGGGGCAGAACCACCAAAACCTGCTAATGCGGCACAGTCTAGAGAAGAGTGATTGGGGAGACTCTGTATCTTGAATCAAGAAACAATACAGGTAGCGTGGGCTTGGTGGCACACGCTTGTAATCTCAGCTATTCAGGAGGCTGAGGCCGAGGATCTCTTGAGGCCAGGAACTCAAGGCCAGCCTGGGTAACATAGCAAGAATCTGTCTCAAAAAACGAAAAACAAACAAACAAAAAAAGACAACATAGGCATAAAAGCAAAAAGTGAGACTGCTCAGCTCATTGGAGCCAGGAGAAAATGTGCATGTTTCGCTTTCCATGTAGTATGGTAGATCAATAATTGGCCTGTCTGCTAGAGACCTATATTAAAATTCTTTGTTTAGTATTTGAGTTTGAAGGTCTTGTTCCAGATTACTGGTACACACAATACAAATTTACAATCCAAAGAGGTGATAAGAAAATGAGAAAGCAAAGTCTTCTTTTAGCACACATTAATGCACTTTCCAACAAACTCAAATTTCAGTGATAGGAATAAATCCTCAACCCTCTACCTCAGAAGCTGTCAAGGGAAAATATTTCTTATCTATTCGGTCTTCCTCCTCTTCATCGGGTGGTGGCTTTGCTGGAGGTGGTGGACGTTCCCTCTGCAGAAGAGAAAAAAATAAATATTTCTACTATCTCTTTTTTCAAGCATCTAACTTTTTGGCTTACCCTTATCTTAGCCCTTGGAAATGAAAAGAACAATGTAAAGAACTCCCCTGAGATACTAAAGTCAAAGTTTACTCTCTGAACAGATGGAGAACTCTGCACACAAACACAATTCAATTAGCATGCTCCATGGTTTTTGATGTCTGCAGCAGAGATCATAAACACCTCTTTCACATCCTAGACCACAGTGAGAAATGCCAGCACTGAAAACATATAACTGCCTTATTAAAAAATGTCCTTCACAAATACATAAAACTTTAGTATAGGAAAATCAGCAGCTCAATGTTCAGTAAACTCTAAAAGGAGAAAACACAAGATCAAAAGAATCAACTTGTGAAATATTTCTAACAAACCAAAGGTATTGAGGAAATAATGAGGAAAGTAATCAAGGACAAAAACATCAATTCCTGGTCAAACTTTAATGCTCTGATACAGGTCTATCCCCATTTATTAGCAAAAAGCTCAAAACTGATCTCTTATCCTTGGTTGTCTCCTTCAATAATAAGTATTATATATTATTAGTATACAAAAATCCTATTTTATCTAAGCCTACTTTAAAAAGGAACATTTCAGTTGTCTGCCCTCGAGCAGAGACTGGCAAATTTTTTCTTAAAAGGCCACACAGTATTTTTTTTTATTTCAATACTTTACAGGGGTACACACGTTTTGGTTACATAATTTGCTTTTGTATGGTTTGAGCCAAAGTTCTAAGTGTGCTCTTCATCCAGTTAGTGTGCACTGTACCCGTTAGGTGTGAATTTACCCATCCCCACCTCCCCTCTCCCACCTACTTGATTTCCCTTGAGTTTTACTTCCATATGTGCACTTAAGTGTTGATCAATTAGTTCCAATTTAGTATTGAGTACACATGGTGTTTGTTTTTCCATTCTTGCCATACTTCACTAAGAAGCATCATCTCCAGTTCCAACTAGGTTATTATAAAAGATATTAGATCACCATTTTTTTTTTATAGCTGAGTAGTACTCTGTGGTATACATATACCACATTTTATTAATTTACTCATGTATTGATGGGCACTTGGGTTGTTTCCATATCTTTGTGATTGTGAATTGTGCTGCTATAAACATTTGAGTGCAAGTGTCTTTTTTATAAAATGTCTTTTTTCCTCTGGGTAAATACCTAGCAGTGGGATTTCTGGATCAAACGGTAGATCTACTTTTCTTTGAGGTATCTCCATGCTACTTTACATAGAGGTTGTACTAGTTTGCAGTTCCACCAACAGTGTGTAAGTGTACTTTCTCTGCATCCTCACCAGCATCTATTGTTTTAGGACTTTTTTATAGAAGCCATTCTCATTGGAATTAGGTGATATCTCGTTGTGGTTTTGATTTGCATTTCCTTGATGATTAAAAACGTTGAGTATTTTTTCATGTGTTTGTTGGCCATTAGTCTATCTTCTTTTGGAAAGTTGCGTTCATGTCTTTTGCCCACTTTTTAATGTGGTTGTTTGATTTTTTTCTTGCTGATTTGCTTGAGTTCTTTGTTCTGGTTATCAGCCCTTTATCGGATATATAGCATGCAAATATTTTCTCCCATTCTGTAGGTTGTCTATTTGCTCTACTGATTGTGTCAAAAAAGGCCACATAGTAAATATTTCAGGCTTTGCAGTCAACTTTGCCATTGTAGTACAAAACTAGCCACAGATAATACGTAAATGAATGAGTGTGGCTATGTTTAAAAAAAAAACAAACTTTATTTATAAAAAGAGGTAGAGGCTCCTGACTATAGTTTGCCAGCCCCTGCCCTAGAGCAAGAAACTCACTGAAAAGGAGACACCGGACTCGTTACTAATAGATCACAGGCAAACAATTTCAGGAATACACAGAATGATCTTGGAGAAGGAAACCTGCTAAAAGCTGAAGAGAGCTTTGCCATTACACCTGCAGAACCTTTAGCATCATTTATATTCAAAGCCCTGGTCATGCTTGATAATCAGTGTTCCTGCCAAAGGGAGTAGGGCCCAGAAACAGAAGGTGGTCTGTAGGTTCATTCCCTGGCTTGTAGGTTAGTTTACCACGCTGCTAAAACAGGAGTATTTCAGAAAGCCAGGGCAGAGGTGAATGCTGAGTTATGCAAGAGCCCAGGGAAATCTACAAGGAAAGATGTTTCAGGAGCTACTAGAGTTAGCATTTTAGCATCCATGATTTCTCTCTTAAAACATGCTTCACTGTTCAGTATTCTATCTTGATAAGTTGGTCATTCCCATAGTCCCTGGAACTGGGTGGATGCCCAATGGCAACAGCTTTAAAACAGATTTGTAAGTTCAAGCCAAAGAAAACTATTTATATCAGATTTCCCACTAAGTTCCACTTTCCCCACCCTTCTTTGCTTTGGAAGTGCAGGAACCTGGTCCCAGTGTTACCTTGTAAGGAAGGGAACAGCAAAAGGAGCAGGCTCATATCTTTCACCAGTAAGCCAACCTTAGGAACACAGTAGCTGAAGAAAAACAAAATCAACCACAACAACAAAAAAAGACCCATTCTAGGAACTTTCTCAAGGCTAAGAAGGCCTAGAAAGAACAATATGAAAGCCTTTTATGGAAGAAGTGATCACCAGGGACACTGGCAGCAAACAGAAGTACCCATGAACCTCTTTTTTTCTAGTGTGAAAACTTTGGATTAGGGGCCTGGAAGTACAGAGCTGATTTAGAAACACTATCCACTATGTTTACTAAGATGTAGAACAGCCCCTTGGCCATAGTTAACTACCAAGGACTGGGAAGACAGCACAGCCACAACACACACAAGTAAAAATGGCAAAGTATGCACCGCAATACGCATCCGTTTCTACTTAGCAAGACCATAGGAGGCTGATTCCTAGAGTGGGATGGAACAAAAAGACTTGTGTATATCAATCACAGGACCTCGGTTATTCTCAGCAACCTAAGGTGCTTTTCGCAAAGGCTCCAGCTCCCTCTAACGGACATCACCTGTAAATACCCATTAAAGCAAAGTCTTCCTCCACAGCTGGATTTGCCTAAATCATTTGTGCCTAACAGTGAAAGAAGTGACAAAAATTAGCTCTGTCTATAGATCACTATGCTAGTGGTGCTCGGCATAGGTACTTGCTTTCACTATTCACGAGGAGTTTTGTCACAGTGCTGGATAAGACCCATCTGGTGGGTAGACTGTGGGCCTTTCCAAGATCCATACTAAAATGTTGGGACCATTTTAGGGCAGAGCAGGGTAGGGTAAGGAGCCTAACAAAAAAGAACACTCCAAGAATCATTAGCCACTCTCCAGGCACAACTAAAAAGACCAAGGATTACCTAACAGCCAAAAGATCATCACAATGGTCACAAGCCAGATTCAGACGAAAAAGGAAAGGCCAGCCTCTCCAGGAAGAAATAACATATACTGAAAATATGTCCCAAGATGGGGTCAGCACTGGTATTCTGTCAGAGAAATGGCCAGTTTAGCTAAGGGGCAGTGCATAAAACCTCAAATTATTGTGCCTGGCACTGCAGGAAGGAAGGTCAGTGGGATCAGTGATTCCGGTCTAGACTCACAGCATAACTCTGGGGATGAAGTGAGGGTAGGAGTCTTGAGGACAATTTATAAGACTGGAAGTTAAAGCAAGTACAGATGGTACTTATGACTTATGAAGGTTTGACTTACAATTTTTCAACTTTACAATGGTGCAAAAGTGATACACATTCCATACTTTCAGTGTCCATAACAACCATTCTTGTTTTTCACTTTCAGTATAGTATTCAATAAAACATATGAGACAGCTAATACTTTATTATAAAATAGGCTTTGTGTTAGACAGTTTTGCCCAAGGCTAATGTAAGTGTTTTGAGCACATTTAAGGTAGGCAAGGCTAAGCTATGATGTTCAGTAGGTGAGGTGCATTAAATGCATTTTTTTCCTGGTATGATTTGAACCTGCATCTCTGGCATTAAACACATTTTTGACTTACGATATTTCTAACTTAATGATGGGTTTACTGGGATGTAATCCCATCGTAAGGTGAGGAGCATCTGTACTAGAGAAAGAAGCAGTAAGACGGGAAGGTGGACCTTGAGAAGGAAAAACTCAGAGTTGTTCTCATCCTATTAGCTCAATGGCCAGAGGCATTATAATTGGATAAAACTGGAACACCAGAAAGTAATAAATACAGTATCTGCTTAAGCCTTGCTACAACGCTGCTGAATACACAACCTGCCCAAATCCAAACAGAGAATTCCTCGAGGGCAAATGGAAGGTGAGCATGTACTTGGAGCAGACAGGAAATCATTTTAGTGAGCGTCTTTTACTGTATGCTTCTGCTTTCCAGAGAGAAAACAGATGATACATAGCAAAGATCTCAAAGGCAAAAGCAGCACTAAGGCTAAATAGAAATAAAATGCTTTAATTTGCTCTAAGGCCGATGGAGTAATGGAAAGATGCAAACTGGTTATACTGAAATTGGGAAAACCAAAACTGTACCTCAACGTGGTCTGTGTAGTCTTACCACACTAAGCGAGAGTGACACGGCAGAGCCCAGCGAGAAAGAGCAGAAGGAGCTGGCTCCAGGCCTCTGACACAGGAGCAGCACCAGGGCCACACTGCTCTCCCTAGTCCCCCCACGGCACAGGCACCAGCCAGCACAGCCCCCAGGAGGTTCAGGGCCCGGGCCACATACAGGCCTCACTCCAGCAGTTCTCACTCCTGCTGCCTCGGCCTCCTTGTTCACAGAGTCTCGGTCAGACGATCGCCCGCTGGCCATGCTGTCTAACGAATGGCAGGAGACAGCGTTGTACAGCACCTCGTAGGGACCCTCCTCTTCAGCATTTGTGTCAAAATCAGTAATCAGTTCGGTCACTGCTTTCTCCACATCACCTGAAAGGGAGGTTGGAGGGCAAGAGAGACAATAAAAGGGGAGCACAATCTCAGGTGCCAACCACCGCAGTGGCCCAAAGCCTCTTCCACCACCTGAATTCTAACACTGCCCCAGAGCAGGAAAATGATTATTTTCCCCCATGGACAGGGAGAAAGAGTTTTAGCTGTTCTTTGTACCCTGAGATCTGAACGGATTTTTCTCTAATTCAAAACGGAAAACCCTATAAGGGATACCTCCCAAGACCTCAAAATCCCCAAATACCTCAACACCATGATAGCATAGACTTAACCCATAAAATGCAATAACATATAACTGGAAAACTTAAGCAATCCTTCGAATTCTTTAATGCGAGCCTCCACGTGCTCAAGCACAATGGAAGACAGCACAGCCTTTCCGAGACGGAGGCGCCATGCAGCTGTCAGCTTCCCTTGCTAGTAACTGACAGCCTCGGAGATCCAGCTAACACCTGGGATCCAAACTGGTGGCTGTGCGAAATTACTAATTGTTGGAGACCAGGCATCTCTAGGTCACTTTGAAATAGTCAAAATCATAAATGTAAAATCCTTGAAAGCTAGGAGTTTAGTGAACTACTAATCCCATTACTAGCAGATTATTACATCAAGAAAAAGAGGGCTTGAGGGGGAAACAAGGAATCCACAACAAAGACAGGCTGGGCACACTTCAGCCCTTATATCTCTGCACTCCTCTGGAAAATCCCTTTCCCTTTTTCATTTTTAGCTTTGTTCTGTTTTTCCAGCCTTCTTTATTGTGATTTATAGTTGGGGAAAAGTGTCAGTCAGTCTGTCTTTGTCATTCATTATACCAAGGACCCAAAAGGCTGCTCAATAAATCTATTAATAAAAAGGTGGATACTGACTAATGACAGATAGGCTGGACTGCCTATATCTGCATACAGATCACATTTGTTTGCCAAATGACACACTACCAAAATCTACCATACACACCAACCAGATGACATTCATTTAATATTTACTGTGGGTCAATTACGCACAAAGCACTACAGTGTATTGGAGAAAGGTTTCACAGAGATCTGAATTCACCTTGAGATGATTCTCTCTACTATGCATCCCAGGATAGATCTCATAGAGCCAACTGTAAAAGTGGAGAATAAAATAAAGCAGGAAAGAAGAGGCCCACAGGGAAAGGCCTAAGCCACGTCCAGTAAAACTTCACATAGTAGTGGGAAAAACGTAAACTGAAGATAAACTTAAGTACTCACAACCCCCTAAATTATTTAAATTGAGATTTTTCCATTCTGCCCAAGAATGTTCAGCTCTTTTCAAGCGGAGCACCCTCTACTGGCAGAGAGGAGTTCCTTACCCTGAGACTTCTGTGATGTGGAGTCCATACTGGAGATGGGAGGTGGCTGGGGTGTGGGAGTTTTGTCCACCTCTTTTGCACTTCTTTTTCCAGTCATATGATCTACATGGAAAAATTTTTTTAAAAGCTGCACCAAATAAAAATGCCTAGGTTTGGTTAGTGTGTCCCCTGGTCACCCAGAGAGATGGGCTGATACCTTCAATTAGTGCTGCTATCTGCTGGCTCTTTTGAGAAGGCAGCTCCCGGACAGTGTCTAAAGCAGTCAGTCCACGGTTATCTTTTATGTTGACATCAATTCCTAGAAAGGCACACCAGGTGGACCAGGGGAGTAAGCATTTCAAGCCAGCCACAAAGAAGGTCAAATTCAAGGACACCTAAGGCTCCCGGCAGCATGACCAACATTTTTCATCCAAAGCCATTTAATCCAGCTATTCAAGAACAATTGACACATTTGTAATCAACCAGTGGAGACACACATGTTGGGTTCAAAATGCAGCCAGCAAAAAACCTCCCCTGGAGAGGTTAGGGAGAAACAATCCCAACCCTGGCATGCTGTGTAGACAAGAGCGCTGCCGACCTCTCACCTGCAGCCAGCAGGATTTGCACCACATCGGTCTTGCCAAACAAAGCAGCCTCATGCAAAGCACTGCCCATCTCCGTCTGGAAAGCAAACGAGAGCGCAGAGCAGGATGTCATCAGAACAGTTTGGTGTGGCTTCACAAGACAAACGGGACAGAGACGAGAAGGCACACAAAATAAAATAAACCACACAAAGCCCTCTATCATTATCTTTCCAACTTTTCTTGTATGGATTTCAAAACCACGACTGTGGCCCACACATCAAGGCTGTGTGTGCCACCAGCAGGCCATATGTGAATCACGACACAGTTACTCCTGGAGCCACCTATTGGTCAGACTCCTCAAACTCTACCTTCCTGGACGGAAGGAGCAATGAGCGGACAAGTACAAGGGAAGAAAAACACCTTCACTTCAAATGCAGTTTGGTCAACGCCAAGCCCAAGGAATCGGTGTTCTGAATGGGGAGGCTATTCAGCTACTGATACTGGTGGCAGTATCAAGTCCGCGAGACCTTGGAGGTGTTAAATGGTGGCAGTGGGAACACACATAAAGGAAGATAATGAAAATTTGCTAATTTTCAGATAGTCCATAAGCACATCTTTTCAGGGTTTAATGACTACATATTACACCCTGAAAAGAAACAAACAAAAAAATAAGACTCACTGGGCGAGTTCATTTGTTTCTAAAGTTTCACATTAAAACTAGTCAACAATGGAAGCATTTGCAACATGATGTGAAACGTGCTGAATAAAGAACACAGCCCAGCAGCACCGTCTTGTGCCTTTGCCAAACTGACTAAGTCCCCTGAAGCCTGGGAGGCGCATCCCCCTGCCCTGCTACCTGGTAGTTGCTGTCCATGCCAGCATCAAGGAGGACCTGGACCACGGCTTTGTGGCCGTTCCTTGCTGCCAGGTGCAGAGGGGTGTGCTTCTTAGTGTTGCAGCTCAAGAGGTTGGGGTGCGCATTGAGGAGCATCTTCACCACCTCCAGTCGCCCATAAAGTGCTGCCAGGTCCAGAGGAGTCTCAAATTTGTTGTTGCGCATGGTAGGGTCCGTCAGCTCCTCTAAAAGCACCTTCACCACCTCCGTGTGGCCATACTGTGCTGCACAATGCAGGGCGGTCTCGTTGTCATTGTTCTAAAGGGTTAACAAGTAGATCACATCAGAAAGGTAACTGACACGCTGGCGCCTGACTGGGACAGCCACGTGTAAAACCACTGAAATTCAAATGAAAAAAATAGCAGCGATACTTGGGAACTAATACGAGTGAGAATCTAGGCGTACTCCCCTACACCGGCCTGACTGTTCCAATCAGCCACATCCTTCCCCAGTAACGGCAAGAGGGGAGCAGTCATCTCCTGAGCACTGGCAGTCCCCTGTGTGCCACGAAGGAAGTGTCTCCAGATTATAAGGAGAGTGAACATTTGGTAGAAGCTCTAGCACAGATGAACACCAATAACATCACTGCCACTGTTGCATTTTAAACTTCAAGTGGTTTTACAACAATTTATACTTATTCAACCCTGTGGTTCTCGTTCTGGATTTGTCAGCTATCCACTGCCTCACACACAAGCTTTTTAAAAAAAGTTTGTCATCTGTGTAGTTTCTTGCATGCAAGTCAATCAGCCAACAATGAAAGTAACAGAGCAGAGCACCAAAAATCACTCTGAGGTATCAGCCAAACAGCCATTTCCAAGGGCGGGAAGCACTCGGGCTCAGTCACAGGGGAAGAGGGGTTCCTGCACTGCACTGCGCCTACGCAGGAGCCTGCACCGATGAAGGTGTGCCGCAGCTACTTCATTAAAACAGCAGCCAGCTCAGGCAAGGGCTTCTCACGTAAGAAAGATGCAATCAGACACTGGAATGTTTTGCGTGAGAGGTGCACAATATTCCAATGTAACACTGTAATCGATCCAAACTCATAACCCATAGTCCTCTAATGCCAATTTTGTTTCAAACTAAAGACAGAATCTGGGATAAAATGGGAGAATTTTTTGCTTTATCAACCATCAGAAGCAAAATGTTAGTCATTCCAATTGTGCTCTTTCTTTTACTACTATTGACAACATATAATTAGAGGAGAAATAAAATTATTTCCATGACCTCTCCCCTTTGAGAAGCACTAATGAAAATAATTCTCCCACAAGATTTGAGATTCCTGAATTTATCCAGGAGGCTTCTGTTACTTTTGGGCAACAAAGCTTAAGAGGGGTTTGTCCATCAAGTCAACACTGTGCACCTTTCACTGGTCAAAAGGTAAAAATTAAATGTTTCTATAATTGCTTTAATTCTATTAATAACATTAAAAGTAACAGGTTAGGAGTTACCCAAACATGCATGCAATTCCATCTGCTTTTGATCTGGCATTTGACTGCATCATTTTTTTCCAGCTATACTAAGTATACCAGAAAGATCCACAGCTGCTGGGAGCAAGGCCCCAAAAGGCCAGAATGATGGCAAAGAAAAATTTAAAAATGAAATAAGGACAGAAAAAGGTGGTAGCAGGAGCCACATGCAAAGATAAATGCACACAGATAAACAGAGATGCAGAGGAAGCTGCATGGTGCTCAAACACAGCTCAAAGAGGGCAGCTGCTGAGAAAGCGCAGATAGCCTTCGCTGGCCAGGAACACGGCCTGGTGGCAACGGCCTCCTGCGACATAGCGGGGCCCCCAGGGGCGAGTCCCACATCAACCTAAAAGTCTGTAGCAAGGGGAAACGCTGGGCAGAAAGCAAGTCCTGAGGTTCCCTGTGCCAAACAAGCCGCATGGACACTCATTTAGAATGTCCACTTCCTATTAAACTATGGCACGAGTCCCCTGAGCAAACTCAGACTTGTCACTGCACTTTCTCATGATGAAAGGACAGCTACATCAACAAAAACTCACGGGATCTTTCTGTAAAGTGATTCTCGGGATGTGTGGCAACCTGAAGAAGTTTAAGAGGATTCTTTGGATTTTACATCTCAAGGTTAGTGTGACAGCAAAGGTCAAGAAAGTCAGCTTATTCGTATTAAAACTCCAATCCAGAAAAACTTCTGTTTACTCAGAAGCAAATACTACTGTCTCTTTTATATCCAAGTTGTCTCCCAAAAACCAGAATAATTTGTCTTGATTTTATAAAAAGTATGCCAGTAGGGTCTGAAGAACTGTAAAACTCTAAACCACTCAGCAAGAAAAAAACCAAAGGGCTTGGCGAGGTGGCTCACACTTATAATCCCATCACTTTGGGAGGCTGAGGCAGGAGGACTACTTGAGGCGAAGAGTTTGAGACCAGCCTGGGCAACATAGCGAGACTTCGTCTCTACAAAAAATAAAAAAAGTTAGCCGGGCGTGGTGGCACACGCCTGTAGTCTCAGCTACTGGGGAGGCTGAGGTGGGAGGATTGCTTGAGCCCAAGAGTTCGAGGTTACCGTGAGCTATAATTGGTGCCACTGCACCCCAGCCTGGGTGACAGAGTGAGACCCTGTCAGAAAGAAAGAAAAGAAAAAGAAAAGTCTTCTCTATTTCTTTTTTGCCAGAATGAAGACAGCTGCCACAAAGCTACCCTGCTAAAGGCCAGGTCTTGATTACTACTGGTAAATTTCCTGCCTTGTGTTAAGAATGGTCTAACCACATCTCTGCGGAGAGCTATACTGATATGCACAGCGTGGCGAGCATCTTACTTAGGTTTCATCTCGCCAGACATAGTCTGGTAACAATAATACTCATTTTATGTCTGTGGTGACCACATCTCTCTACCACTGAACACAGGCCCTCACAATGAGCTCTTTTCTCCTTTGAGCCTGACAACTGTCAGGGCAGAAGCTATCAGTGGTTCTCAAACAAGCTTCATTTGGAATTACATAGAAGATGGGAGCTTAAAAATAACTAGTAGGAGGTCCAACCCCAGATTTGCCAAGGTAGCACCTCAGAGGGTAAGGCCCAGGAGACTATTATGAAGTGTTGATTCATGGACCCACAGGAAAGAGAAGTATTCTAAGGAGAAGCACAGACTCCTCATCGTTTGGAATCTCTCCCTTTCACACCTTCGAAATCATATGATAGGTGCTTACAACACCTCAAGAGTTCCCAGAATCATATTACTGTGAGTGCGGACTGAGGAAGGGGACTGAAATGCAATGCCCAGATTCTCCCTAAAGCCTTTGCACAAATTCTCCATTGCTACCCATCCTGCAACCCACTTACATTTTTCCTTGCTATGGTCAGTCCTTCTAAGGAGGGATCCCTATGTGTATCCCTTAAATCTGGACACTCCACTCAACGAATAAACCCATTATATATATGCATAAATTATGGGCAGTAGAAAACTGTACAGAAACATTTCCATGGCCTTTCTCTTCTTGGAACTATTTCAGGACCATCACCTCCTAGTGCTTAGATTATAGCCCAACTGTACACTTATCCACTGTTGACAGATGCCTAAGTTAGGGACACCTAGCCTACAGCTCTCGACAGCAACAAAGGTATAGATTCTACCATATCATAATTGGAAAGAAAGGAAAAACTGGGTCTACTAAGATTGAGATGACATAGGAGAAAATGAGAATCGAGTCCACTATGTGGAAGAAGAGCTAGACTTACTCTGTAATGCTCTGGAAAGCAGAACTCTGACCAAGAGATGGAAAGTTTAGGAAGACAGATGTCAACCCAACTTAAGAAACTGAAAATCAGTAGAATCCAAAAACAGGCTACCAAGTGGTAATGAGTTTTGTTATCAGGAAAAACAAACAAATGAATAAAATAAGGAATAAATGGCCCACCTTTTGGTCACTACAGGAAAAATATTCCTGCTCTGGGTGGAAAGCTGGCCTAGATCAGTGGTTCTCAAACCAGTTTCATTTCATTATCAAGAATGAGACAAACTGACATCATTTACGTTGTGATATGATGCACTACAAAGGACATAATGTCACTTCTATGGTATTTCTGCCAAAAATGTATAACCCGAGCAAATATTAGACAAAGCTAAACTAAAGGACAGTCTACAAAACAACTAGCCTATGCTCTTAAAAATGTCAATGTCACGAAAGACTAAGAAAGGCTGAGGGAACCGTTCTACATTATGTATGATCCTGGATTGGATCTTGGACCAGGAAAAAAAAATGCTCTAAAAGACATTATTGAGACAATTGGTAAAATTTGAACATGGATTCTATATTAGATAACAATATTGTATCAATGTTGAATTTTCTGGCTGGGCAAGGGGGTTCACACCTGTAATCTTAGCACTCGGGGAGGCTGAGGCGGGACAATCACTTGGGGTCAGGAGTTCGAGACCAGTCTGAGCAAAAGTGAGACACCATCTCTACTAAAATTGGAAAAATTTAGCCAGACGTGGTGGTGCGTGTCCGTAGTCTCAACTACTTCGGAAGCTGATGCAGGAGGATTGCTTGAGCCCAAGAGTTTGAGACTGCAGTGAGCTGTGATGATGCCACTGCACTCCGGCCAGGGCAACAGAGCGAGACAGTATCTCAAAAAAAAAAAAAAAAGTTGTATTTTCTAGATTTCATAATCGTATTGTGGTTTTTATAAGTGAATGTTCTTGTTTTTAGGAGATTTAGGTTGAAGACCTAACTAATACTAAATTGAAGTAATTAGGGTTAAAGAGTTAAAACGTCTGTGACTTAATCTCAATTAGTTCATCATCAGCTACAATAATTACACACACGCGCGCGCGCACGCACACACGCGCGCACGCACACACACACACACACACACACACACACACACACAGAAAGAGAAAAAGCAAATGTAGCAAAATGTTAACGAGTAACAAGAAGGGTATACTGCAGTTCACGGCATTATTCTTATTTTTTTTAAGTTGGAAATTTTTTCAAAATAAAGTTTTTTAAAAGCTTGCCAGGTGATTCTGATGAAATCCGACAAGCTGATTGCATTTGGAGACAATTGATCTAGATAAAACTCCAAGTTCCTTCCCGCTATAAGACTGAATTATTTTTTAAGTGTACAAAAAAATAGATCTTCCCTAATAGTAATTTGACCATTGCGCATTTTATGATATTCATACTAAGTTAAAATTGTTTTAAAAGGGGGAAAATGAACAATTTTCATAGTTTTACCTTAGCTAAGGATGATTCACATTTGGCTGGTTCATGTTGACTTGTTGAAAAATGAAAAGTCCCAAATGTCGAAGAGGAACATCAAAGCTCATGAAAACCACCTATGCTTCCAAAAAAGACATCTTAATCTTTACAGCTGCCTGACGGGGCTTAGCACTCAAAAGCACTTTATCAAAAACAATTCCTAGACACAGCCAGACCAGTGAAAATCCCCTGAGTCAGGACAAAACCTAGGAAGGTTATACTTGAATGAGTTCAAGAAGGGTTTGCATTCTCAGAACCTAGCTTTATCCCTTACCGTAGTTTGCATCATTTGGCCTTTTGGGGTATAGGGAAAAAGGCAAAGGGCAGAATTTCCAAAGACAGAAGAATATTCTTACTATATTTAATCTGCTTTTATGTGTGCAAAATTAAAAGATAGGAAAATGTACTTTCAAGAACCAAAGTCTTGGCCGGGCACGGTGGCTCACACAGCACTCTGGGAGGCTGAGGTGGATCACTTGAGGTCAGGAGTTCAAGACCCGCCTGAGCAAGAGTGAAACTCTGTCTCTACCAAAAATAGAAAAATTTAGCCAGGCGTGATGGCGTGTTCCTGTAGTCCCAGCTACTCGGGGTCGGGTGGGGCTGACACAGGAGGATCGCTTGAGCCCAGGAGTTTGAGGTTGTAGTTAGATATGATGACACCACTACACTCTACCCAGGGTGACAGAGTGAGACTCTGTCTCAAGAAGCAAACAAACAAACAAACCCAAAGTCTTAGCCTTTAATCAAAGCTTTATAAGTTAACTAAACTGGGTGGGAAAATAATCACTTTAAGATCCCTCCCCACAAAAGGAAACCCTATATAGACTAATTCAGCAATGTTTCATTAAGCATCATCCCTAGTAACAAGAATGGATTCCAAAATGCCTTTTCAGAAATACATTATATACACTTTTAAGAATTAGGAATCTCAAATATTACTAGTTACCAGATATTTTTACTTTATGTACATACATTATCTTATTTAAACTCCAAAACAATCCAGCAAGGTGGATGGTGGTACCCTATTTTACAGCAGAGGAAACTGAGGCTCAGAGAAATCAAGTAACTCGCTTAAGTGAACAAAACCATTAAGTGTCAGCCCAGAAGTCTCACTCAGGTCTGACGTGAAAGCCTATAACCTAGAAGTTTTCTGCTCTAACCCTTTACTTGCCTCCCACAAAAAAAAAGACAACTAGGTAAAATTATCTTCCTATTTGGAAGATTAGAAAATAGAATTTAAAGAGTGGACGAAAGCATAGCCAGAAGTGTTCCACCACCTCAGGCCAAATTGCTTCTCCACTATCAAGGCCCAACAGCTGAAGAAAACCTAAAGGCCTGCCTAAGTTCAGCCCACAGGGAGCTTTGTTTGCTAAATCAGTATTTCTCAAAGAAAAGCACAAAGTATCTGCCTTGGGTTTGGAAACACAGAGAAGTGCTTTATGTTTCCCTTCCCTGAGGCAGCTATATTTAGAGCATGTAAAAGGCAGCTAATGTGGATAATGCACTGTCTCAAGCAAACTTGAGATTGTTGACAAAAAGCAAGCTTCATCAGAGTAAAATCTCACATCTGGAGCAGCAGGTGAGAGCACTGAGCAAACAGCGCCACCCAGTTGAGGAGCTTGCTGCTCTGATGTGGCGAGGGCCTGAGGGACAGACAGCCCCAGGCCTATCAGACCACACCTGCCCCGGCTCCACAGGGAGGGAGGCTCAGGGCAAGTGCCCCGCCTGCTCCTGCAACACCATTTCCTACTCGAGGGCCCTTCATGGGCCAAGAGTGATCAAGCAGAGAGAGAAGCTAATAGCTTGGAGAGATTGGACTGCAGCTTTAAAGCATCAGGCAGAAAGGCACAAACTCCAGAAAATGAGAGGGGAGAGGCAAGCAACAGCTTTTAAAAGAATAAAATGGAGTCACTCATTTCCTTTCCCCCATATCTCCACCATTAGCTATTGAAACCTGAAAGAAAATCAGATTCAATTTCAAAAGACATATAGAAAGTAAACTAAAAAAAATTTAATTCCAGGAAGCACAATTTAATCATTTTTTCTGTGCTTATTAAAAAGTAAGCTAATGTGTTTGACATCTTTTAACTGTGTTTTTAAAAATTTAAATGATTTTAAAAATCGTAATAGTAAATTAAGCATATAATATGGTCCCTTCTACTTCCTCATTCCTGCCACTTCAGATATTCCAGAAAAAGCACCCAACCTTTCCCAAATTAGTATGGGTTTTAAATATAAAATCAAAACCCACTGCAGCTGCATTTTCCCATTCCCAGACAAGCCAAAAGCAGATGGGCTGATGCAGGCAGGAGTCAGGGTGATGAGGAAAGCTTGAGTGGACAAGAGTGGAAGCCAGAGAGGGCCAAAGAGGAGGTGCAGCTTGGAGAAATGATGCAGAGAAATCCTGGCAGCAAAGTACACACCTTGGCATTGATATAAGGGTCAAAGGGGCCGTACTTTTTGAATTCTTTGATCTCAAGAGCATTCTACAAAAAGGAGAGGAAAAGAAAATGTGATGATAAAATGGATGAAATACATCAAAGCAATACACAGCCCCGTAGGGGTCCGACACTAGAACTACTTGGATCTGCCTGCTGGACACCTCAAAGGGAGTTAATGGGGAAGACAACCTCCAGGGCACCTCACTCATTACCCCCCTTTAATGCAGGCATCCAACTGGAACCACATTAATTGTTTTTAAATAAATCAACATCATAACCACTACTTAGATCTATTAAGTTCTTCAAGCTACTGCAGACATCTTGCCCAGCCCCTGCCCACCGGATACTCGAAGCACTGGGCTGGTGTCCCACCTATCAACAGATACTCCAGGCAGGTGGCAGCTGTGAGCAGGTTAAGCTAGCACACTCAAGTGGCTCAAAACTCCAAGCAGCTGTGTACCAAGGCAAAAGTGAACAAAGACAGGATTAGAAATGGTTGCTGAAAATTTCTTAAATGAGAAGGACTTTAATGGGTGACCAGTTTTTTCAACATTGAAGACTATTAGTTACAAGCAAACTTCATTTTACATTTCCTCCAGAGAAGAGAAATGACCACTTTAACCAGGAGGAGTAAAATTGCATTTAGATTCCAAAGAGACAATTTTCATTCCCAAATGTTATAAACAAACATCCTCATTAATGATCTTAAATATCTATTGCTCACCTACCCAGAAAATACAGCCCAGAAGGGAGAAGGGAAGCTGATTAACAGCCATGTACACACAATCTCCAAATGGAGAGATTTGGGAGCACTACTTTAATTTTCTCACACCTCAGAATGAAGCTGTCCTTCTCAGAATCAAAGTCATGCTCTTAACAGCTCACTGAGAACTGCATGGGTCTTGCTGACAGATGGACTCGCTAGGATGATTTCCTATTTTTTGAAGAAAAACCTTGATCTAATCCTACAGGTAATTTAACAATCTCCTCTTGGCAAAGTCATTAGGAAAATAGTCTTAAGCTTATTGAGAAAGACCAGCACCTCCCTCAACCAAGTACCTGCTTCGGTTCAGAGCAGAGAGGAAAAAGAATGGCTTGTCACATAAGGAAAGCCCATCTCCTCTCATACTGGCACAGGACCTCCAACCCAAACGACAGGGAGTTATAAGAGGCTTGTCTAAAACCTGCATAATTCAAGTATAATTTTCTCAAAGGAATAAATGTGAAGAAGAGGAGGATTATTCTCAGAGTACCACAATCCATGGCCACCATTATAAGGTTATTTGTGCCCAAATGCTGCCTTTTTTATTTTCTAAGAATTATCTCTTCTTTTTCAAAGGATGTTCACTCTTAAACTAACATCAGAGGACATCATGGAAATGATCTTCATTCCACTGAATCACCTCTGACCTCCACTCACGTGTTTCTGATCTGTGAGTTCATTTCTCAGCACTAGCATACGTACTTCCACTTCTGCAAGTTCTGATGTATGTAAAACAGCATGGTTCTCACGGTACGGACAGTCGCTGGGAAAGGTGCATGGCCATGTCAATGGCATAAGCACAATTTACAATTAAGTAAGCCCACAAGTTTGAAATTGACTATGCAATTTTAAAGGATTTGCATTATTTAAAATTTTGCACATAAAGTGAGTACAATTAGCCCTTCATATCCTTGGGTTTGATATGGTTTGATAAGCAGTTACAAAGAGCCTGCTGTGTATATTTTTATTATAGTACTATTCTAAGTCTGCATGAGTCAAATGCATATAAAATGCATCCTTGCAGTATAACTTGTCCCCAAAACACTAAGAGGAGTAAAACTGCGAAGAGGGGAGTTACAGTTAGGGTATGGAAGAGCTGGTTCCCTGAGATTTCCACCATTGGACTGAGATGGTGATAGGGCTGCCAGGTCTGGCTGCAGCTGAATGGAGGGAGAGAAACCTCCCTTCCTTCCGACCTGTTCGTTGACTCTGGTGTGTGAAGGCCCTTGATGGATGAGCAACCTCACTATCTGGGCATCTCCTTTCCAGGCTGCCAAATGCAGAGGATAACAGCCTTTAGAGTCAGCCACGTTGGTCAGCGCATCGTTCCTCAGAAGAACTTCAACCACGTCCCTAGGAGGCAAAAATCAACCATGAGTTTGCAGAACGCCTAAGTGTTTCTTGCTAACAGCTCTTCACATTTGTATAACACAAAGCCCTTTTACAGATACTATCGCATTTGGCTCCCCCGTCTCCACCTGAGCTCATAGCCCAAGCTTTTCCTTTTATTCCAAGGGCTACTTGTACAGCTGCTGATAGGAAGCTGAACCACCTTCTTTTTTTTTTTTTCCTGCCTAATATGATCTGCAGGAAAGAACCATCTTGAGCCATGCTACCCTGACTCATCACCTCCCTGTTTAGACTTTCTTGATAATCTATTTTCCTCAACTTTGAAAATGTCTGGACTCCTAGTCGAAGCCTTGCAACGTTTCCTTTTTTTGTGTTGTTTAAACAGCATTCAGTAGCATAAAAGTAGTCATACAAGACAAATATCATTATTCACCACATTATTCAGAGCATTTTGCGATGTGGGAGCAGAAAGCAGAGAGGCAAAGCAGAATAAAAGTTGTGTGCAAATGTAAGCCAGACACCCATGGTATCATTTGATACCTCCAGAAAGAGGGACTTGGATTTCCTCTTGGTGATACTTCTAATTTAACATACTTAAGTATATAATCATCCGTATGCACATGGGGTCAAAGAAACTCTCCACTGTAAATACAGACAGATGTGGAGAGGAACTTGGCTGACAAACTATAGTCATTTAAGTTCAAGATCATTTTAATTCAGGTTACCCCACTATTTAAGTGAGGAGGGGTGGCTACAGATTTCTTTTTAGCTTTATCTAAGATGGCTATAGAAACTAATGATACATTCAATGTATGTTAGGAAAGTTTAATGTTGTAGAAAACAACCTCTGCCTCTTTTTGGCCTGTTGGAGTCAATTAGACTGGGCCAAATACTGGACAAGCGATACAGTAAGGTGGCAAGGGCCCTGCTCCTTGCTCAGAAAAATCTAAAATGGTTCAAATAATCCCTCCTTATAAAAACTAAACTCCTACTGCTTATCTCCTCTCATACTTTGTCTTCTTTAACACCCTCTATTTGGTTACACTCTGGTTTTCGTTCTTCAACATCCTGGCAAGGCCACTCCCTGCTCCAGGACCACGCCTGCCCTTCGCGGAGCCACTCGAAGGGCAGCACCCCAGTGGTGCAGGCCTGTGCCTCCTCTCTAACTCCCCCAACACACGCCTGCTCCAGAAAACTCTCCACACAAACCCCACCCAATTCCTAATAACCTCTCTATAGTTAAGATAATCACACAGGCCATTTTACCTATTTTTTCCCTTCAAAAATGGTTCTTGTCTAGAGGGCTAATTTTATGTGCAAAGAATGGTAGGCAAGAATTCAGAGGAAATAAATAACTACTTTAAAAGAAGACAAGTTTCTTATGACCACTCGGTCTACTTTCAGTTTATCTAGGGGTGAGTTATCTAACAGATTCCAGCCCCTTTATGTTCTGGCTGCCCCAAATTTGATCTTCATACTTACATCATTGTGTGGTACTGGAACATTCTAGAGGGGAAAAGAACAAGCAGAAGAAAAGCTAAAACTTAATCTTGGCTAAAGGTGGGGTGGGGAAGGATGTTTAAATTATACACTGGAGAGAGACTCAGGAATTCTGGATGGACTGATTTTAGGTTTGTTTTTCTCTGTTCTCAGTGCCACTGCTTAGCAAAGCTTGACAGGAAGTGAAAAAGACAACCTAAAGGCCTGCTTCTGCAGGGTGGGGCAGGAACGCAGCGCAGCAGTACTTACTTGTGGCCATTCAAAGCAGCATGGTGCAGGGGTGTGTAGCCAGTGCTGTCAACACAGTTCACATTTGGACCTCTCCACATGCTATCAGGGATAGAAAGAGAGAGGTTTCACAGACTGAAGTCACAAACCAACGTTAGAGACAGCTAGCTACTTTGAAAAGATTTCTGTGTGGTGTTTAACCAAACTGGTTACTTCCAAGCGACTCCTGATGAGGACAGCAGCTACACGTTACAGAACTGCACAGCACTGAAGGCACACGTGGTCTGCTGAACGAGTCAAGTGTCAAGACAACCGTGTGATCATTTAGAGCCTGTTCTTCTGCACCCTTCTCCTCATCTATAACTTCATTATTCACTCAGCCTAGGACTCATACTTCTGAGTACTCCCAGGATTGCAAAAATAGCTCATATAAAAGGTCATTGAAAATACCATAGAAACCAAACCACTCAGCCCATCACAGGTACTGAGCACCCACCCCTATGCTGGTGACTGAAGGCTTGAGAGAGACCTCAATGCAGACCAGATAGATAATCAAGATGATTCAATCTGCAAGGATCAGGATTTAAAACACACTAGGATACATATTTTAAGATGCAAGAGACAATTTTGTCTTTCCTTTGTAAATATGTCTTATTAGCAATTTTAAAAAATCAGAGTCTATAATCTGACTATCTTATTTAACTCAAAAATACCATACTAGGGAAGTCAAATATGGCCTTATTTAATCCTCAAAGCCTTAATTCTTATTTGTTTCACACCTTACTGCATCAGCCAGAGCTTCTAAAATAATATTAAGTAGCAGAGGGTGACCTTGTTTGTCCCTGCTTCTAATAAGAATAAGTATAATGGTTTAAGGTAGATACTCTGTAACATGTAAAGGAAGTATCCTATTCTTTTTCCAAAAAGTGTTATTAGACATAGTTAATTTAAGTGCATTCTCTGCAACTATGGAGATAATCACAGTTTTTCACATTTTATGACCTAATATTTTGTTATCAATAGGTTTCTTAATATTGAGCCATTCTTTTATTCTGGGAGTAAACTTTATTTGGTCATAATCCATTATGGCCCTGTCGGTAAATTCTCCTTCAGAGTATCTACTTGAGAGTATATTACTCAGTATTTTTCACATCTATACACATAATTGAGGCTGGTCTAACGGTTTTGCTTTTTATGCTATTGTAATTGGGTGGTATCAGTGTTAGGTTTGGGTCACAGATCAGATGGGCAGCTGTTTACTCATTTCCATTTTCAGAAAGCATTGACATAGAGCACCAATACTATAAAGAATCACTAGTAAAACCATCTGGGCCCAAACCCTTTATGCTCAGATGTTGAAAGTAGCATTATTTATAACAATAAAATTTTGGCAATAGCCATCAATAGGGAAATTACTATGATAACTACAGTCTGGACACAGCGTAGAATATCATATGCCAGTTATATTGCTATGTAATAAGATGGAAAGCAGATTATAATACAACAGTATGGAGAAAAATGAAACGAAATTATAAATACTGTATAGTTATGGCTCAGAAAGGATCTATGGGAGAAATTTATCAGGACAGTGGATTGAGTGCACAAGTTTACTCTATCTCCTGCCTAAAGTTCTATGAAGTAACAGAAAAGATACCCCACTCTACACCAACAGATAGATATTATAGATAGAGAAACATATAGATTCACCCCCAAGAAAATAAAAAAGATGTCACCAAGTAACTGGCAATGTTGAAGAATTACTAAAAGGCAGAAAGCAGACAAGGAAAGATCCACAGAGACACAATCTAGAAGAATGCAAATTAAGACACATACCACTTTTCACCTATCAGACTGACAAAAATGAAAATAATGACATTATCAAATGTTTGTAAAGATCAGGAAAACGAGCCCTTTTATACACCACTGGTAAGAGTTTAAATTGGTGAATTCCTTTGGGAAGACAGTTTGGCACCATCTATCAAAACCAAAAATAGATTCACTTTGAGCCAGCAATTCCACTTCCAGGCAACTATCCAACAGAAATACTTGCACATGTGCACAAAGACATATGCTTGGACAGGACTGCTTTGCTGTAAGAGTAAAAAACTTAAAACTTAATGTGTACCAATATGCAAGCCATAAAATATTAGATTTACCCATAAAATGAAATACTACATAACTATTAACAATAATAACAAAGGAAAAAAAAGTTAGACCTATATGTCCTTACATGGAAAGATTTTCTAAGACATACTGTGTTACAGCAAAGTGAAAAAAGAAGTCATTGTATAATACACAAAATATGAGCCCCTTTTTATAAATGTGCATATACATACACACCCTTGTACATGGATGGTGACTGGAAGAGCACTCACCAAGTGTTGACAATGGTTACCTTTGGGGCAGGAAATTTGTTTGTTGGGGACACTGCAGAATGGTGAAGAGAAAATTTCCAGTAGTGCTCTGTATTCTACCACACTGTTTAAAACACTTACAATGACAATCTATTCATGTAGTGCTTCTATAATAATAACTTTTTAAAAGAAAGGGGGGAATAATCTACGCATAGGTGAAAGAAGACCAAAAAAAATATCAAAATGTTAATAATAAATAGTTGTATATGGGTGACTTTAATGAGTGTGTAGATAATTACGTGTGAAATCTTTTTTTTTTGGAGACAGAGTCTCACTCTTTTTGCCCGGGCTAGAGTGCATCAGCCTAGCTGACAGCAACCTCAAACTCCTGGGGCTCAAGCCATCCTTCTGCCTCAGCCTCCCGAGTAGCTGGGACTACAGGCATGCACCACCATGCCCAGCTAATTTTTTCTATATATTTTTAGTTGTCTAGCCAATTTCTTTCTATTTTTTTTAGTAGAGATGGGGTCTTGCTCTTGCTCAGGCTGGTCTCGAACTCCTGAGCTCAAACGATCCTCCCGCCTCGGCCTCCCAGAGTGCTAGGATTACAGGCACTGCGCCCGGCCTTATGTTTGAAATCTTAAGATAGGCCAGGTGTGGTGGCTCATGCCTGTAATCCTACCTGGCACTTTGGGAGGCTGGGGCAGGAGGATTGCTGAAGCCCAGGAGTTCGAGACCAGTCTGGGCAATAGGGAGACCCCATTTCTACAAAAAATTAAAAAATTAGCTGGGTGTGGTGGTGTGTGTCTCTAGTCCCAGCTACTTAGGAGGCTGAGGCAAGAGGATCGCTTGAGCCCAGGAATTTCAGGATGCAGTGAGCTATGATGTCACCACTGTACTCTAGTCATGACAACAGAGCAAGACTATGTCTCAAACAACAACAAAAAACCAAACTTAAGATGAATTTTAAGTAAGAAAAACAGAGGCTGAGTATGGTGGCCTGTAATCCCAGCGCTTTGGGAGGCCAAAGCAGGAGGATCACTTGAGCCCAGGTGTTTGAAATTGCAATGAGCTATGACTGCACCACCACATTCCACCCTGGGCAACATAGAGAGACCCTGTCTCTAAAATTTAAAAATTAAAAATTAAATAAATAAATAATTGGGCAAACAGAACATTTGCCCAATGAAATAAACAGACATTTCTCAAAATAAGACATACAAATGGACAAAAGGTATGCAAAAAAATGCTTGCTATCACTAATTATCAGGAAATGCAAGTTAAAACCACAACGAGGTATCACCTCACACCAGTTAGAATGGCTATTATCAAAAAGATGAAAGATAGGTGTTGGCAAGGATGTGGAGAAAAGAGAACCCTTGCACGCTGTGAGTGAAAACACAAATTAGTGCAGCCATTATGGAAAACAGCATGGAAGTTCCTCAAAAAATCAAAAATAGAACTACAACATATTCTAGCAATCCCATTATGGGGCTTACCCAAAGAGAATTAAATCCGTATGCCAAAGAGGAATCTGCACTCCCATGTTCAGTGCAGCGCCATTCATGATAGCCTTGATATGGAATCCACCTGAGTGTCTGTCAGCGAATGGAGGAATGAAGAAAATATGGTATATGCACAATGGAAAACTATTCAGCCTTAAAACAGAGGGAAATCCTGTCATTTGTAATAACATGAACCTAGAGGACATTAAGTTCAGTGAAATAACCAGGCACAGAAAGACAAATACCGCATGATCTCTCTTACATGTGGAATCTAAAAATGTTGAACTCACAGAAGCAGAGAGTAGAATGGTAGTTACCAGGAGTTGGGGTGGGGGAGATGTTCAGTTAGATAGGAGGAAGAAGTTCAAGACCTCTATTGTACAACATGGTTACCATAGTTAATAACAATACACTGTATTCTTGAAAATCGCTAAGAGAATAGGTTTTAAGTGTTCTCACTACAAAAAAAAAGATGTGATGTAATACATATGTTAATTAGCTCTATTTAGCCATTCTACAATGTATAAATATTTCAAAACATAAATAAATACAATTTTTATTTATCAATTTAAAAATTTTAAAAAGTAGGATATATGTGCTTTGATATCAAAGCCTTAGCTGGTGAAGACAAGGTGATGAGCCTGAGGTACATCCTGATACCCCACCCTCCATTAAGCCTGGACTCCTACAGCACTTTCCAAATAAGGAACTAAAAGCAATTCTATCTCTTTGTCACACTTGTACAACGACCTCATTTTCTTTTCTTTTCTTTTTTTTTTTTTTTTAAGAGACGGGGTCCTGCTCTGCCACCGCAGGCTAGAGTGCAGTGGCGTCATCATAGCTCACTGCAGCTTCAAACTCCTGGGCTCAAGTCCCAAGTAGCTGGGACTGCGGGTATGTACCATAATACTTGGCTAATTTTATTTTTTGTAGAGATGGAGTCTTGCTATGTTACCCAGGCTAGTCTTGAAATCCTGGGCTCAAGTGATTCTCCCACCTTGGCCTTCCAAAGTGCTGGGATTATAGGCGTGAGCCACTGTGCCCTGACCTCATTTTCGAAGCCAAAAATTATACAACCGTGCCTGACAATGGATCAGAATGATGCAAAGTGAAATGTATCTGGAAAATCTAGGAGATACAGTTTTCATACTCACTTTCAAATTGCCACACAAGACAACAGATCATCACTTTATTATAAAACAGGTGACACTAAGAATCTAAAAACCAATCACTTGCTCCAAAT